TTTCCACCTGTAAAACTCGAAACACATTGCTCGAGTCACGTCGAACAACTTAGTTCGTTTGAACGTTTTCCAAGTATTCTATAAAATAGAAAAAGAAAAAGAAAAAGAAAAAAGAGAATCAACAGAACTTGGATAAGCGAAAAGTGAAGTAAGTGAACATCATTATTTTTATTCAATACAAAAATGTAGAAGAGAACGTTGATCAGAAATTCTTCATATAATTTATTTTATACGTGGTTTAGAATTTCATTCAGTTAGAAGATGTTGTTGATGTTTGATTTTCGTATGTTATTACTTTTAAAGAAAGAAAAATTAAAAATGATTTTCTTACACTCTATTTTTATTTCATAAATAAAACATTGTATTATCTTGGACGATACTTAATCGTAAGTTAACTTAACCCCTAGACACATATCTCGCTAATCGTTAAACAAGAATCTTTTCCCACCGAATAAAAAAAAGTCTGATCTTATCGGCCAGCTAGTTGGTAGAAAATTACAAGTAAAACCAACAATAAGTCTCTAGAAAAGATTAATATGTAAAAACGATGAGAATAAAGGTAAATATGCATTGTATCGTAAACGTATTAGACATAAGAGAAAACAGCTGAACATAAACGATTAAAACCTTTTGAATTATTAATGCCACTTGCATGAACTTTCCATGTATACATATGCTAAACTTTTATTATTCGATTTTTCATTAAACTGTGAACTTATTTGAAATAGACCGAGATTATACTTGAATGAAAGTCCTATTGATCATTAATTGAAAATACAATCAATCTGCGGATGGATCGATCTATTATAACTTATATTTTTCTTTTCTACGAGCAAAGAATGTTTTCCTAAAGTTTCACCGCGTATTTGTCTCTTGGTACAAATAAATATCTTTGTTTAAATGAAAATAAAAAAAAAACAAATAAAAAATTTGTAACAGAAACTTCAATATAATTTCTAGTCAAAGTAAAGTAAAGGAAACTCTTATTCGGTCACGCCACGACTACTTTTTTTAATCGATTTTCTGTTCTGCAAGAGAGTGTAAAACGCGCGTGACACTTAACATCAAAAATGTACACCATTGGTAAGAATTGTCGCATCAAGCCGGAACACATGAAACGCGTGAACTTTCTCACTAACTCTTTGGAATAGAAACTTGGTAAAAACTTGGAGAAAAAGACACATGTGCATGGATATACATACATACGTAAAGTAGGCGTATTCTTTTTAAATAAAAAAAAAAAAAAAAAAAAGAAACAAATGTCTACAAGAAAACCAAACACTTATAAACCACGGTCTTTATTTTCGCGAATCGATATTTTCTTGCG